TTTTTTTTTTCCTTTTTTTTGATTTCCTGCGCTTGTCGTTTTCTTTTTTCACGTTCTTTTTTTTTGAGTAAAATTCAGAGACGCGAGTTTATTAATTACCGAGATCCAATCTGCGTTGAAATTGCGCGAGCGAAGGAGAGAAAAGTGACGGGAAAGCCGATGATTATCGGGATGTTTGCCGAAATGGGTTTTCCAGTGCACCAGCTGTGAACGAACAAACATCCGGTCGGTGGACAGACTGAAACGACCGATGGTTCTGTTTTTTCGATTCACTATAGCCGCAGTAAAACTCGTTTCAAAGTTGCACCATTGCATCTTCCAGTGCCAATTAAAACAAATTGCGAATCCTGAGCGTTTCGAGAAGATTGCTTTTGGCATTGACAGTTATTTAATTTACGATTCATGGGATCTACTGTTGAAGTAATTTCCTCAGAATATTTAAATATTTTATAAATAATTCCTTGAAATATTTAATATTTAATCCAGTAATTTACATCAATGAGAAAAGTACCTCTTTCATTTCATTTATTTCAAGTTTGCCAAGAAAATTATAAAACTTAAAATTAAAGAAAAGCCTCGTTAATTTCATCGTCATCGAATGAAGCTCGCATTAAATTTTGTAACACTGTCATGAATTGAAGGATAAAGACGATATCGAAACGCGGTCATTTCCTGTCATTTTCTCGATTTCTCGAGAATACTTCTTTTACCTACATCACGACGAGAAACTGTCAAGCTTATTTCAATTAAGCCCGTTTCTTCGAAACGATCCAAAGTGGCCAAAGTGGTTCCTCGAAAGACACGGTAGTTCTGAAAAATGTCTAGAACATTTCTCGAAATCTCTCATCTAGATCTCCCACGGGTCTTCTACCACACTCGTACTGTAGTGAAGAAATTTTCTATAAATTACGAACCCACGAAGTTAAGTTAAGTTAATTTCACTTAAAGCGAAGCATCTTGAAGCATCTTGGTTGTAGTTGGTTACTGCGGTCGCGGCTTGACAAATTACTTTTGTCTGAAACGTCTCGTAATCCTCCCACGATTACGAGAGAGGAAGCCAACGAAGAGGAAATGAAGGGAAGAAGGAAAAGGGAAGAGTTAATAGTATCGGGATGATTCTGATGCGACTGACTGCCAGTAGATGTACCCACGCGCCGTTCTATTTCTCCGGAAGAGAGAACGATCGAGCAAACAACGGCCATGAAATTGCGTTAAGTCTTCGTGTCCGTAGAGAATGATTCGAGGATCCAATGGCTCGATCCGCAGGACAGCTTAAATCAGGTCAATTTGCGGCAATTCGCGCTTTATAACCAAAATTGGAACCATTGAGTAAGAATTTTATTATTTGAATAATTTTAACTATGAATTATCTTTTTTTTTTATCTTTGTTACTACTTTCTAAATTTTCTTTTTAATTTAGCGTTAGACTAATTACGTTTAACAATTGAGTAAGAATTTCATTATTTGAATAATCTTAACCATGAATAATCATTTTTTTTTTACCTTTCTTACTACTTTCTAAATTTTCTTTTTAGCGTTAGACTAATTACGAATAATTTCCAAGAGCCAAATTTTTTTTTTTTATTTTAGACGGTTATATATATTTGTTATTCCATCCTCAGTTGATATCAATGTGTTGCCAGCAAACGTGCAAATGGAATATATCGAGTTGCAATCAGAGATATACAATTCGAGGAAAAATTTATCCAAGTGTCTTTGTTAAACTTTTGTAAGCTACACCTGCCTAAAGAAAAAAATATATATTCAGCACTTCGCGAACATGCGCTGTTCATGATGTCTCTTTCTGAAGGAGTACTTATATTTTTTTCCCTTATGAAGCACACAAAAAGTAAAATAAGAAGAAAAATGTTCACTACCTGTATCAAACCAGATACTGATAAATACTGGTATCTAAAAAACAAGCTCAGCGTTCTCATTAAAAATTTTTTATTTTTTTAATGAATATAAATATATTTTTCTAATCAATGTGTTGTTTCACTAAAATTATTTTAATATCGTCATAAATAATTATGACAGGTTACAAATTATATAGGTTTGAACATTGTACGGCAAAAACCATATAGATTAAACTGATAAAAAGATACGTAAACTATGTGCGGCCCTCGACGAATTTTTGTTGATCTAAAGGACACCCAACTGTCTTAAATCGTCCGTTCGAAATCGAGATCTTCTTTCAAACATTTTGTAAAACGAAATTGTCGAAAAATTCGTCAGAAGACAGCTCTTAAAAGTTCTAAAAACGCCAACACCTTTTTCCTGGGAGACACGCGCGCGCTGCACGTTTCTGCAATTTATGCGGAATGTCGTCTTAGGCGCCACCTCGGGTGTTTCTTACGCGAAACGTACCGCGAGTCAGTTCTACTCCAGTAACTTTCATTCTTCGAGGTATTGTTGCGCAATACCATTTACAATCTCGCTACTTCGTTACTTTTGGACAAAGAAAGTAAAGTATGCGGCTCGAGCGAGCGCGCACGAGGCTGGTAGACGAGTTTCACCTGGCAGGCAGGTTTCTATTGTGTGCTTTATTTGAAGGATAATATTGGGAATCAGCCGATGCAAAAAAGGTGTACGGCTGTTCGTTCATGTGGGACAGAGAATAATTTGCTCTCAACGAGCAGCGTTTGTTACCATTCACGTCCCGTTAATTCAATTAAATGAATGTTCTTTCTATTTCACGATCACGTGGACCTGTAACGCCTAATTAAACTCACGAACATACAAGCAACGTCGAGTTGCACACGGTAAAATGAAATCCCCACGAAATAACAAAATAATGTTTGTACATTAGAAGACATCCTACGAAAACTGATACATAAGAATACAGAAAATACCCAAGATATAATACACGACAAGTTGTTTCGTACATGAAAAATACGATTTTCCAATAAATATCTGCACTGAGTCGAAATCCGAGGATCAAACAAATGAAAAAAAAAAAAAAAAAAAAAAAAAAAAAAAAAAACAAAAA